TTGACTATAAGTAGCAGACATAGAGATCAGAGTTGGTTACCTAAAGAAATAAAAGTATATTTACAGTCTGAATTCTTAACTTAAACAGACTAAGTAAAATTTGCATCACAGACTCTCAACCTAACAGATGGTAAAAGCAGCTTACAGTTCTTCAGTACCAAGACTGGACGCCCTTCCAGCCTGGGACCAATCTTCCCCAGTTCAAAGTCTGTGTCTTCCAGACGTTCTTCCAGGTTTTGAGATTGGGGAGGGAGAGAGGCCGGCCAATTGATGATGTAATTCTCCCTCTTTTATACTTTCTTCCAGCTGCTAGAAAGATCCTTGCTGTGATGTGGGTTAGTCTGCTCACATGGCATACAAGTCTTCTCTGAGATAGTGGAATGGGTGTTGAGGAGCCATTAATGCCCGTCTGGCAAGTGATGGGTGCTCCTTTGTCCTTATTGAAAGAATGACTGTGGGCAGGTATACCCTGTTAGGGGGATTATCCTCAGATTGAGGGCAGCCTGGCCTGGTGACCATGAGCAGGGCAGCCTGGACCAGCAGCCACCATCAAATAGGGCCACCATTCAAGGGTTGGTTGTCGGCTTGGGTTGGGGGACCCGGGCCCTCCCTACGCCACTGTGTCAGCAGCGAATATATTCGTCACTAGGTCAGCTTTGTACAAAACATATAATCACATGACAGTGGTGAATATGGGGGCTCCAAGGTGCTGCTTTGAGGTACAGAGTGTCACACTTACGTAACTGGATCCTTTCATATGTTATACAGCAATGCTCATGCAAAGTCCTTCCAGCATTTTACAGCCAGGCTTGGCTGACATCTTCTGTTCATGAGAAAAGTCACGCAGTCAGCTTGCCTCTGCGTTGAAAGATGCACAGTCTACTTCTGTACACCCAAATGTACCCCAACATGCCATAATCTTCTCTTGCAAACTGGATCCTGCTGTTTATTTTTTCATGTACATTTCTTCTCTTGCAGATTTCACAATCTCTTCATTAGCATTTGGCTCAGCATACAAACTGGGAAACCTCCCCCATCTGTCTGTCTGATCCCATCTGTCTCTTGTCTTAGTCTTAGATTGTCAGCTCCGTGGGGCAGGGACTGTCCTTTTGTTCTGTGTCTGTAGAACGTCCAGCACACTGGGATCCTGGTCAATGACTGGGGATATGAGCATTATGATAATATAAATAACAATAATTGGGAGGGTCCAGGCAGTTGGAGGGAGGGTGTTGGAGAGCAGGGGAGTGTCCAGATGGTGGGGGATAGGTTTGGGGTAAAGAGTTCCTGTGAGCTGGGACGTCTGGGGGCAGTGGGAAGGAGATGTACCATGGAGTAAGTTCTGTAGGGAGTTGTGATGCAATGGAGGGCTGGAAGAAATGGGAAGGCGTGGGTCAGGATGTCAAGGAGCTGGGAGGGGTGGTGGTGCTGGTGGGAGTAAAGGGGAGGTGGGGGCTGGGTAGTGTTTGCTCCAGGAAATGGGGGAACTAGCAATGGGAGGGAGGGAACAGGAGCTCTTGGGAGTCGGAAGCAAAGACGACTTGGGGCAGTGGGAAGGTGAGACGGAAAGTGTCTGTGCAGTGGGAAATTTGGGGGAAGCTCTAGTGAGGAAGGCTGCGGGCAATGGGAGGGGAGGACTGAACACAAGGAGCAGGTGCTCCTGGGGCTGAAGAAGATGGAGAGGGGTGAGAGCAGTGGGATGAAGGGGAGTGGGTATCATAATAAGTGAGAAGGCTAGCTGCACCCTGCCCCTGGCACTGCTTTCTCTCGGTGCCCCCCCCTCCACCCGCAGGTGTCAGGCCTCCTGCCTTTTCCTCTCCGAGACTGGAATTCTGCAACTATCCTGCTCCTAGAGTAGACCGGGGCTACAACGTCCTGTGTATCCACTGTGCTTACCCAGCACAGCCTGGCACAAATATGCACTTCCTTGGTTATGTCTGTGACCCTCCCAGCATCCCGGGGGAAGGGGCTCCATGGTATCTGATAGTGAGTTTCAGCTGGCCTGACCCCAACTCACTAATGTCTTCACCTGTATTGAAAAGGTGTCATGAAAGATATCAACAGAAAGCTACTGACATGATGTTCATTAATATTATTGCATGGTGTAAGTATGGAGGATATAGGCAAGATTACAGATAGCTGGGGAATGATGTTCTTAAAGCGTGTCTGCCAGCCAGGGTTGAAGTTACCCCACCCTAGACAAAGGCAGGTGGTTCTGCCACCTTGAAGGCACTTTCAAGGTACATTAAGAGACAATGGGAATGCAATTTATATAAACAATAAACAAACCCATCACACTAACAAGGTGCAGAGGTAACCACTCAGCATCATGGCAGGGGAGGATATCTCAGGAACAGACCAAATTCCATTTTCGCAAACACCAGCAGGAGAAGAAACCAGCATGGAACTTCCTTCATCACTAGACTCCAGGCCAGCTTGAATGAAATTTACTTTGGAGGGGAACCTCCAGAAAACTCCCTTTCAAACTCCCTTCAGAAAACGCCCTTTTGTAAAGGTTCACTGAAGTATACAAAAGAACGTGGGATTCTCTGACTCTATCTTTCACTTAAGACAAAGGAACCAAGCACTTTGGATTTGAGGGAAATATTGGGCAAGGGGGTGGGCTGCTATCTTGCTGGAAAGTAGTGTAGTAAGAATCTTACCTTGAACCAGGACTGTAGTTTTGTTAGGTCCTAGTCTCTAGAAAGCATTGTTCACTTTCACTTCCTGGTAACCATATCTGACTCTCATTTATGCTTGAACTCACTTTAAATGCTTGTGTTACTAAACTTGTTATACTTTTAATCTAAACGAATCCACTGCTGTCTTTTAATTCAGGTGATAGCTAACTCCAGTTAAAGTGATAAGATGGGCCATGTGTCTCTTTTGAGAAGCAAACAATCTTTGTTACTCTGAATGGTCCAGGAAAAATAGTCATGGCGGAGCACATGGTTTTGGGAAAATTCAGGAGTGGGGGTGTTGCGATCTCTTGCCAGGTGTATCTAAGGCTGGTGGAAGCCAGAATGTGCCAGGGTGTAACAAGCAGGCTGATGGAATCAGAGCTGCTGGTCCAGGATCACTTATCAAACAACACTCAGTACGTCCTTGAATGCTGGCTGGGAGCACCCAGACAAGGCAGCTACAGCAGCAGAACATTGAAAGTCACCCAGGGTTATAGATGACACAACTCCTCACTCATCTGGCTTGCACTCCAAAATGAAAAAATGGCTTAGCGGAGTAGTGAAACTTCTTGAGACACGGAGAGTCTTGCTCCCCTATCCCCATCTGCAGTAGCCACAACGTCTGTTCTCTGCAGGCTCCTTGAATCCCTGAAGTCATGGGGCCTGATTCTTATTTTTCACATTTCGGGTTTTCAGACAAATTAGAGTCTGTTGCTCTTGAATTATAGCTTCTAATTTCCCAGTGTTCTCCACACCCAGGGATTTTCATACTCCCTTGTATTACACCGGACTCCCTAGATTCCCTAATGCCACAATATGTGCTTTCCTGCCCTTCAACGCTGCTGAGATCCTGCATTCAGTAATATACCTGCCCTTTCTGTTCCTTACTCCACCGAACCCCACCAGCCCATGCTGACTGTTCCCAGCTTCTCCAGGACTCTCTCGTTGTCTCTGGACCTCTTTGTCAGCAAGAAGCAGTTCCAGGGAGACTTTCCCTCTGTCTGGAGTCTTCACTTTCTGGGACATGGATTTAGCTTCTCTATATTTTAGGAGACTTTGATGATGAGTGTCTGTGACATTACCCAGGGTACAATCTGAACTGTTGAACAGATGTGTGCCCTCAGTTCTCCAACATGGACTGAGAGAACAGCCATTCCTGGCCAGTTAACACACAGTCTCCAGCATGTAACTCACTCCCAGCTAACCAGTATTGAGTGCTGCTAGTCAGCCACTCATGAATTACACCCCAGGAGAACACCAGCAAATTCTCTAGTCCCAGACTTCCCCCAGAAATGTGCAGCACGTGACTGAACAATACAAGCTCGTATAAAGTCTATCATTTAATCAGTGGAAAATGACATGCATCAGCCTTGCTATCCTAAATGGAGTTTCCCCACACACTTTAATCCAAACACACTGGTTAGATGGAGCAATAAAACTTGTTTATTAACTACAGAAAGAAAAGATTTTAAGTGACTACAAGTAATGAGGCATAAAAGTTAGAATTGGCTACAAAAGAAATAAAAGATGAAACGCAAACGAACGTCTAACTTAACAAGCTGAAATGAATTCAAAGCAAATCTCTTTCTCTCACCACATGTTGTGACAGTCTGGCTTTCCTTTCAGCCAAGACTGCCCCAACCCCCTCTCCTGCACCAGTTCAGTTCTTCAGGTGTTGTTGATATCATGAATAGAGAGAAAAGGGGAGAGAGTGCGTTTCAAACCTTTTCCTCACCGCTTTTTATAATTCAGTCCTTTGTACTAGAAACATCTTCAATTTTCAGCTGAATCATGGTGACAGGCTCCATGTGTTGTCGATGTGAGCTTCAAGCTGTCCCTGTGATGGAATGTAAATTTCTTGTTCACACATTTCTCCTGCCAGAGAATGGCCATTTGACCAGGTGGGAGCTTTGCTATCTCTGAGGAACTGGTCTGTGGCGGCTCTCCAGAATTGTAACATTCTCAGTAACGTCATACAGTAAAATCTCATAACTACGTACAGTGTTGCTACATATTTTAACAGGACGATAATGTTCAAATGATACCTCACAAGGTATATATTGTACAAAATATATCATAATTTTGCTGAGGAGTGAATATAGGGTTACAAACTTTCACAGTGTCTGTCTGTGCGTATTCCCAGCCAATATGTGGGTAGTTCAATCCCTCATAAGCAAAGTGTTCTGCACCTTTTAGGACCTGGGGAGCTGGCCCTGGGATTTCACTGGTTTACTAAGGACTGGAGTTCAATTAATAGACTATTTTTTGTGACAAAGTCTTATGAATTCACCTGATCTCATTTGTTTTCTCTCATCTGAACAGGCTTTCCAGTTTCCAAACCTGATGTGATCTCCCAGCTGGAAGAAAGGGAAGAGCCGTGGGTCCCAGACCTCCAGGGTTCAGAGGAAAGAGAGATCCTGAGAGGTCCCTGCACAGGTGAGGAAACATGAAACCTACTCAGAATGTGTAAGTGCCTGAAGAAAACATCTGGGATTCCCTACAAAGGCTTTGGGAGCTCTGAGTTCAGGATTGTCCCCAGCAAGTGTCATATCCCTAAGGAAGATATAGCTCACAGCTTCCTACAGATCCTAACTGACACCTCACAGTAGCTTCCTCCCTTCCCACTGAGAATGTGGATGGGATATGAAGGCAGAATTGATTTCCTCCCATCTCCCCTTTGGGGGAAGTTTGGGGAAATTCAGTTTCTGATTTTTATTTGACACCTCTCCAGCACTTATTTTGGTTTGCTCTTCCCTTTTCCATCCCTGTTTGAGGTTTCTCTCTCTGTCCCAGCAGGTGAGGCGATGGTGAGTGAGAATGAGGCGCAGAATTCTCAGCAGGAAGATGCTGAGCAAGTGGAATCACATGGAGCATTATCGCAAAGATCCGAAGGGGATGTGTCCAGGAGTCATGAGGAGGGACAATCCTGTGAGATTCAGCACAAACCAGAGAGGGAGCAGGGAAACCAGCCAGAGGAGAAAATGGGTAAATTAATTTATTTTTGGGGCACTCAGAAGGACCTCAAGGAAACCACGGCCCACCAGAAAACCCTTGGGGGAAAGAGTAAAAATACACACACTGAATGTGGGAAAAAGTTTAGTCACTGCTCAGCCATTTTAAAACATCATGGAATCCACATGGGGGAGAGACCCTACGAATGCTGTGAGTGTGGGAAAAGCTTCACTCGGCGCTTACAACTTATTACGCATCAGAGAATCCACACAGGAGAGAAACACTATGAATGCTGCGAGTGTAGAAAAAGCTTCACTCGGAGCTCAGAACTTACTACACATCAGAGAATCCACACAGGTAAGAGACCCTATGAGTGCTGTGAGTGCGGGTAAAGCTTCACACAGAGCTCAAGCCTTACTAGACATAAGAGAATCCACACAGGAGAGAAACCCTATGAGTGCTGTGAGTGCGGGAAAACTTTCACTCAGAGCTCAGACCTTACTACACATCAGAGAATCCACACGGGGGGCAAGACCCTATGTATGCTGTGAGTGTGGGAAAAGCTTCACTCGGTGCTCACACCTTATTACGCATCAGAAAATCCACAAAGGTGAGCAACCCTATGAATGCTTTGTGTGTGGGAAAAGCTTCACTTGGATCTCAGCCCTTATCTATCATCAGAGAATCTGCAAGGGAGATAAACACCAGGAAAAACTGTAGGGCTATTCAAACATTTTGTTTTCTTTAATACTTTTATTAATTACCATGTAGTAACTTTTAGTGCTGTTCGAACCATTTGCATCTCTGTCATCCCGCAGCTTGTCCAGATGAGTTGCCAATTTTTGCCTTTTGCATTTTGCCTCATTTTGGGGTGGATCCCGTTGTCCTTTCTGTTAACTCCATTGTCCCATGAGTAATGGGAGTTGTCACCCTGCCTCAGTGGGTCACATCTGAAAATACCATATTCAGGACAAACAGCTGAGAAGTAGCACAGACACACCCCAAAACTGGTGGTTATTCTTCTGTAAGATATACCAAACCAGAAACAAAAGTAAACTTCTGTCTCACCAAACTGGGTAACAAGAAGTCAGAAATGCAGCCTCCTTAAGTATTCCAGTTTTGGATTCAACAGTCAGACACTAGAATTAATGATGAGTGGTTATTTAAGACCAATTTCATCAACCAAAGGACCAGCTATGTACCGAAGTCAATATATAACTCCGATCTTACCCAATAATCACTCTGTTGCCAATCCTTTAGTATCTAAAATCTAAATGTTAATTATAAGAGAAAAGGAAGAGGTGAGAGTTCAAATTGTTTAAAGGAATCAAATACATACAATAACTGCCAAGTTCTTGAATCAGGCTTGAAGCAGTGATGGCATAAACTGCTGGCTTGTTAAGTCTCTGGTTGCTTCCAAATGATTGGAAGGTCCTCACTCCCTTGGTTAGACTGTTCCCTTTAGTATAAGTTCATAGTCCAGAGGTTAGAGCGGAAAGAGGCAAAATGGAGATGTTACTAGGACATTTTATACTGTATATGCTCATTCATAAGCCAAATATTTTTGGTAAAAAAGTGACGCATCAAAGAGTGGGGGTTGGCTTATAAACAGGTCTACACCAAAATTTGATGATTTTAAACTCTATGGAATCATTGAATTGAATATCTAATACATTGTCATTTTGTTTATCTGGAACATCTGCAGGCATGGAGCCCCTCAGCTCCCTGTGGCCACGGTTCGCCATTCCCAGCCAATGGGAGCTGCAGGAAGTGGCAATGGTGACTCTGGACCTAGATGTGACTGATCCCCAACTCCCATCTGCAAGGGCCAAAGGAGAAAGCTCTCCCCTCCACCCCAGCCATCTGACTGCTCCCCTGCATGTTGGGCTGGGAAGGAGTCACCTCTAGGAGATGTCACTGGTAAGTGGGGGTAGGGGCAGTTAGTGGGCCCAGGGTGACTCCAGGGAGTGTGCGTCCCAGTCTGTACCCCTATGTTCACCCGTTTACTGGACTATGTCAAAGTTTCTACAAAGTATGCCTTATGAGGTATCATTTAAAAGCTCATAATTGGCTGATCATTATTGTCCTGGTAAAATATGTATGGCAACATTGTATGTAAAGTTATAGTATTCTACAAACAGTTCTCCAGAGACAAAAGGCTAGCCAATGCCCCAGCCAGATGACAAAAAGATCAAATGGACCATCACCTGATTAAGTGGCCATTCATCAGCAGGAAAGAGGGTGTGAGCAAAAATCTGTATCTTGACAAAGAAGCAGCTTGAAGTTCCTTCCCAAACAGACTTTTTGTCTGGAGATGACTCTTGCACAAGAAAGGGGTCTATAAAAGAAGAAAGCAAAACGCAGCACATGGTCTCCCTCCTTTTCTCTCTACCCACAACATCATGAACATCTGAAGAACAAAGGAAGGAGCAAGGACTGAGGGGGAGAGCCTCCCTGAACACTGACTCAACCGGTAAAACTGTGTCAGCATATGCCTTGAATTCACTCAGTTTGTTGAGTTAGGTGTTACCTGTGTTTTACCTTTTATAGCTTTGTAACCAATTTGGACTTTTATACCTCATTACTTGTAGTCACTTAAAAATCTGTCTTTCTGTAGTTAATATACTTGTTTTATTGTTTTATCTAGACCAGTGTGTTTGGATTAAAGTGTGTGGGAAACTCCATGTGGGATAACAGTGCTGCACATCTCATTTTATATTAATCAATGACAGACTTTATATGAGCTTATACTATCCAGCAGAGTGCTGGGCAGTATAAAACACGCATTTCTGGGGAAAAGTCTGGGACTGGAAACTTGCTTCTGTCGCCCTGCAGTGTGATTCAGAGTGGCTGGCCATAGCACTCAGATAGCATAACTGGGGCTGACTTACATAAGAACGGCCATACTGGGTGAGACCAAAGGTCCATCTAGCCCAGTATCCTGTCTTCCGACAGTGGCCAATGGCAGGTGCCCCAGAGGGAATGAACAGAACAGGTCATCATCAAGTGATCCATCTCGTCACCCATTCCCAGCTTCTGGCAAAAAGAGGTTAGGGACACCATACCTGCTCATCCTGGCTAATATCCTCCATAAATTTATCTAGTTCTTTTTTTAACCCTGTTATAGTCTTGGCCTTCACAACATCCTCTGGCAAGGAGTTCCACAGGTTGACTGTGCGTTGTGTGAAAAAATACTTCCTTTTGTTTGTTTTAAACCTGCTGCCTATTAATTTCAGTTGCTGCCCCCTAGTTCTTGTGTTATGAGAAGGAGTAAATAACACTTCCTTATTTACGTTCTCCACACGCTGGAGGCTGGGTGTGAGTGGTACCACTCACAGCGAGGCAGTGTAAAAGGCATCCCAGGTTGGAGTACTGAGGGGACACAGCTATTTTTCAGGCCAGAGAATGTCACAATGTGTTTAACCCTGAGCGGGGATCTGAGCAGTGGGCAGTGGGAGCAGCAGTAGGATTCAGGGTAGGATCCAGGTTTTTATGGACTATGAGGGGGCATTTGTTCATGTTGGTACCAAGGCCCGGATCTTCATTTCCCATTCGGCCCCTTTCTCTGGGGAGAGAATCTGCCCCAGCTCTGGGTCCTGGCCTGGGATCCTGCCTCACACTGTGCCCCTAATGTTTCTGGCAAAATGCCCAGGAGGGGCAAACACTCCGGGCACCTGCTTAGCACCCCATGCCCATGGCTTAGCTCTAGTCTTGGCTTCTGCTCCTCTCTGTAGAGTGTGAAAGGAGCAGAGGCATTGCAGGAGCCTTCCCTGGGGCCACGGGCCTGAGGCTTTGGGAGAGAGAGATTGTCTGAGGCATCAGAGTGTTGGAAACCCTGCGGCCACTGCCTAAATCAGGGGCCTGTTCCAGCCCTGAGTCTGAGCTGCCGGGATCCCTCCCACAGAGCAGGGTGCCCCAGATCACAGCCTGAAGAAAAGGCATGTGAAACTAACTCCTGTTCTTGCATCTGAGCTGGGGGATAGAATGACCCTGCCGTAGGGTATGTGGGCATCATGCCACAGCACTATGCAGCCATTCATGGCATCAGCACTTCTACCAGCAGCCCTGTGCCAGGCACAAAACCCCAAAAGGGCCAGGCTGGGCTACTTACACCAGCACTGCAGATGTGCGGCATGTCCAATTGCAGCTGGGAAGCCAGGCTTTGCTACCAGGCAAGTCAGGGACTCTGTCTCCATTCTCTGGCCAGCCCCTGTGCTATTTATACCAACAAATGCTGTGTTTGTTACAAGTGAAATCAATCCCAAAAGTCCCCTTTCATCAGCTCTAGACATTTCTTTAAGCTTATGTTTGGCTCTCAGAGAAATAAACAAATCTGTCTGTGGCCAGAGGGGAGCTGAGTTCAATCCTTTGTCATAATCAACGTGCTTTGCATTCCTGATGCTGTGGCTCCATCGTGTGGCCATTCGGTGTCAGTCCTTTTAAATAAACAATGTTCTTTTCATAGAAACAATATTTTCGTCATACAGACACAGGAGTAGATTAATTTACAAAGGGAAGGTGAGCCCAAAGCAGTTCTGGAGGGAGAAGGGAACATTTTCAGCATTACTAAAGTAATGTGTTGTGCCTCACACCCACACAGGGAAAATAACTTCATTATTTGAGCTATCAACACACTTAACAGAATATAGTAAACACCTTTATGTTCAACGAGATGAGTTAAATAATTTAAATAATTCTAAAAATATGTTCTGGGCAATGCATAAAAACTGTCATTGCATTGAACAATCCACTTGATATAGTTAATGTACTACATGATATTTAAAGGAGTTAAGAAAGATGTTATAAATTAATGTTTTGTGCTTTTTACATGCACGTGCCCATGCAAACACACACTCACACAGAATACACTGAATTATTTGAGCTACCAACACTTCCACTTTCTCACAGCATGTTAGTTCTGAAGGCTGTTTTAATGTCCTTATTTTCTTGGAACCAGAAATGGGGAACAAGAACACTGGAGTCAGTGGAATTACAGCAGTGAGCGATTAGTCTCATTATTTGTCACTAACAATAGGCTTTGTTAACACAGAGTTAAGGTTCCCCCAGAGGTATCTCGTACACATCCAGAACATTGAGTTCAGCAAAATTCAAACTCTGGAAATGCAGGGAATAGAGACTGAAGGTACATGCCCAGATAATCTTAACTCTGCCCTCTTGGAGAGATTCCATGATACCATATGCGAACAAAGAAAGGTTTGGGGACAAATTACAGCTACTTCCCAAGAGTTTGTTTCTTTAGTAATTAATTGGTTATCCAAACAGCTCACTTCCCCACACACTTCAAAGAGATGGTATTTTCCTGACCCATAGGGAAGTTAAAGTAACATGCCCAAGATCACACAGTCCTTAGGAGAAAATAAAGGGGGGGAAATCCCTAGCCTTTTCCACCAAGTGTTCAATGAGACCAAAAAGTGAGACTAGA